GCTGCTGTGTCCACACTGGTGCTGCACTCACTCATGTGTAGCACTAAAAAGACTTCTGGGGGAACATCCCATGATTTTTTGCATTGTAGTAAACTTTAAACTGAGCCACTTTATGAATTCTTCCTCAGTGAATTGTGGGAGAATTTGTCTGTCCTTCTTGGGCACATGGAGGGAATCATAGAAAGCTATTGGAGAACTAGCAGCACTCAAGTAGTGCTAACTTGTGTCCACACTACAGAGTAGCCATGTTACAAAGGGACAAATTGTGTTTATTCAAGCTTTAGCCTATACCTCCTAACAGGACAGCCAACTTGTGTTAAAAGCATGATGGCATTGGATCTAACAGCTTTTGTCTGTGGAAGGGACTTGGGTTAAGAGGACCAACCCTTGAGTTATAACTTGAGTTAACTTTATTGTGGGTTCGATTGGTTGCACACTCAAAAACTGGCATTAAAATTAGAGATAAGATCTTAAAATCTGGTGCTAAGTGATCACAATGAGGTTGTTGGTGTTGAGACCACAGTCTATCATGCTGAGCAACACTGTCTCATTGGTCTCTGTCATAGGGCAGCCCCTTCCTGGAGCGCCCTCCTGATCTGGCCAGTTCTGGGTGAAACTAGGACATGGATGGAAGGCTCTCCCTGTCCTAACCCAAGTAACTTGGCCTGGTCAGGGGCCTAACCTTGACAATACCTTGGCTCTCTATGAAGGACTAGTGTTTATATTATGGACTTTAACACCTAGATGGCTATTTTTGAGTTGAGTTTTAATTTTTCCTGTTAACTACAGGGCTCGATTGAGAGCTGACCTGGCCGGAGAGCTAGGCCATGGAAGCAGCAGACCAGTGTAGAATCAGGACACTACAGAGGAAGAACCCCTGCAGTGCAGAGGAGGGTGCTGTAGTCATAAGTGCACAGGATAAGAGTCTGTCTATAACCATTTGTTGTCTCTTATTTTATACTTGTATTGCAAGATTCTTGGGGCAGGGCCTCTCTTTTTGTTTTGTGTTCATACAGCACCTAGAGAGCTGGCAGGTCACATGGTACTGGCTCCTGCTCCTTGTTACCAACTGAGAGAAACAACAGTTGAGAGGACGAAATAAATAAGGAGCAAAAGTAGATAGTGTGATCCACTTTTTTCCAAAAAAAACCAAAAACATTAACACATTAAAAGACAGCTAAGAATATATCTTTTCCTAATATTTTACCTTGTAAAAAAATTGCTATAGTTGCCACAGGGAGGTTACGTGTTTACAAGTGGTCTAAGCAATTGTGAATGGTAGCAGAGGTATCCACTTCATAGTCTCTCTGTTAATGTGTGGTCCACACTATGCAAAAGCTTAAAATTTAGCCTATTAACTCTAGTATCATTTATTTGAGTGTATTTGCCTCCCATTTTAAAAAATAAGCTAGTCATAAGCATTACCATACTTTATGTCAGACAGTTTCCCTGTGCAAGTTAGTATATAAAACATAACTTATAAATGGCTACCCACTGGGCATTAAAGTAATGAAGTTAAAGCAGCTGTTTTAAAACATATTCAGACCAAATCTAATCAATGAGATTTGGCTCTCTGAATTTCATGTTGTACTAATAGGTATTTAAAATGTAGCTGATATTAAATGAATTCTTCAAATCAAGTGAAAAGTCTAGCTATTTGAACACCTCATTATATTACACTGAAGATTTTTTTCATCCATGATATCCTATTAAGGGTTGTAGTGATAACCAAAATTGTATTCACTGGTATAATAAAAAGGACATACATAATACTATGATCCTGATCCTGATCCTGCAGATCTTACACAGGCATAACTCCTGCTTATCTCAACAGAAGTTTTGTCAAATAAGGACTACAGAATCAGGCCTTTACTTGTTAGTCTACAATATGACTTCCAATAGAAATGTAATTTTCTGCTGCACCTTAAAAAAACCCAAAACTTCAATCATGATTAAACACTTATGCAGGGATATTACTCTCCCTTCCCATTCACAGATCTTCTTTGAAGCAGGATGAGTGCATTAGCTTCAGGCTATTTAGCCTTAAATGGGACACCATCCGCTTCAAAACCACATTTCTCTTATGCCTACAAAACGTTATATCTTTCCCAGTAAAAAATGCTACCTAAGATTACTATAACTGAAAGGAGTTAGCCTTGTTTTTGTTTTGTTTTGGTTTTTGGGGGGCTTTTTTTTTTGCTATTTCTTTTCAGTACTTTTACTTTGCCCATTTGACCATCGTGTATAAGCAGTTTCACTCTACAGTCAGGCTGTTTATATGATCAGGGTCTTAGTTTCTCCCTTGCTAAAAAGACCCTTATAAACTGCAGCAGGGGAATAGAAAACCTTTAATTTTTAAAGGATTTTGTTTTAATTCAGGACCTATTATTTAAAGGGCACGCTACCAGAAATCTTGATTATTTTTTTTAAATTCTTAATTTAAAAAAAACCAACGAACTGACGGTGTCCTTTTAAAATATTCAAAATAAAAGAGCATTCATTCAGGTAGGGTGAAACATATTTTATATTAAAGTATAAATGATAGATATGGGCATGGCTATTCCAAATTCAACCATAAAAAATATTCTGCAAATACTAATGTGGAATGAACAGTGTAGTAGAAGGGCCCCAACCTTACGAAGGAGAGCATAGAAAATGCATGGTTTCAATGTACAAACATAATCCAGCTTTAACGAAAGTCAATGAGTATTTTGCTATTAAATTTAGTGGAAATAGGTGAATGCCTTTTGAGAAGAACTGGTTCAATACAATGTATTTTAGCTAATAATTTCTGATACCTACATAACTAATCCTTGTCCTAGGTGGAGGCTATCAGCTACTAATATTTATATACTACAAGAAAATGTACTGCCCCAATCTTTTCTCTTAACATCTTCCTTCTGATTATTCCCATCATCTTCTGAAGCAGTCATCTCATTATATCTAGTGAGCCAAATTAATTGCTGGTGTAATTCAACTAAAGTCAATGGTGTTGCACCACATAAGAATTTACCCAACGTGATCACTATTAGATAAAGATTATCAATATATATGGCTAAAATGAAACAGTTAATTTCAATCAATAGTGAAGTATAGAGACACCTATGAAGCGTAAAATAAAACTGAACAAAAGATTCAAAGAAAACAATTACTAATAAACAAATAAATGTGTTTTATGATAAATCACTTCTGGAGTAAAAACAAAAAAAATCTAGCTACAATAATTGCAAAATGAGCAGTATCATTTTAAAATAGAACCATTAGCCGAATGGATCCTAAATGTGACAAAAATCAATATCCATGTTTTGTTGAATTTAGTTTTATATTCTCTTCATATCACATTCAGCTTTTTCCTCGCATTCTCCTCCCATTTTTTCGCTTCCTTGGTCCCCTCCCTTTTTTCTTTTTCAATTTCAATGTGGATGATGTTTCCTCCCCCAACTCTGTTCTGAAATGTACTAGAATCCTTAGGGGTGTATACTGAGCACAAATAGTGCCACAAAGGTGAGAATTCTAGTAACTGTCTCTTTGGTGTTGGCCCATCAGAACTACATGAATGTGACACGGTCCATCTCTGTTCTCCCAGTTGGTCCAGGAACAAAACAAATGTATAAAAGAGTGAATGGCACATGTGTACTTTAGCCATGAACCTGACTGCCTTTTTAGCTGCTGCTTCTCTTTCATACTTTTTCTCTTCTCTCTTTCACACACTGAAAAGATGGGACAAGGGGTACCATTTGATTGTTCTCATGCCAAGATGAGGAAAATAAACACCCACCCACCCCGAAAAAAAAAACCCTAACTCCTGGTGTGGGGGGTTATTTAATATTCTGAGTTGCTTTATGATCTAGTGGACTAAGCACTTGACTGGGAGCCCAGGAACTCCTAAGTTCTAATAATAGCTTTACCAATGAGTTTTTCCATGGACTCGATCAATTCACTAAGCCTCTCTACCTCAGTTTATCTGTAAAAATTGATATAATAATTCTTGTTTGCCTCCCTCACAGGGTTGTCATGAGAATTAATTAGGTCCAGTTCTGTCCGTAGGTGTGTGTGGACACCATTTCCATTGCCTTCAAAAGGAATTGTGCCTGTTTATCTGAGAGTAGAATTAGGCCCTTGAGTGTTGGACTTTGCACTGCTCTTTGAAGATGTGACAGGCTGAGTATTATTATAAATGTATTAAGGGAGATGCGACATATGCAAAAATATAAATGTTGAACAGGAAGTTGTATTACTCAGTCATACCCCTTAAATACTGTACAAAGGAGAGGAAAAGGCAAACACTAAATGGAGAATGGAATTATCCTTTGAATTAGTACATATGTATGTCCCAAAATAGAAGGTGGAACAAGAAGATGGTTGCTGTCGAAGGAAAGTATGTTAAGTGCCTAAGACACTGAGTAAATTGTTCAAGAACATTTCATGCTTACTTAATGAATAATTACTCTATAATGTTGCCAAGGTCAGCAAAACCTTGGGTTATCTGTCATGTGAATGCCAGTTCCATGAGTTAGTGACCACAAATGCAGTAACTTAACTGATGTTTTTCAAAGATGTGTGTACCTCTATTATTTATTTATTTAGACTTAGTAAAAATGTGCCTATCCCATATGCTGTTCAAGTACAATCTTTACAAACTATATATTAATAAACAGGGCCAAGGTCCAAAACAGGGGATTCTCCCACTTCCTCCCTCCCACCCCCATATTAAAAAATGTCTTGGAAACACCTCTCTCATCCTTTTACCTTACTCCCCCGAGAACAGATACTATGACTTGAAGGTGCACAAATTAAGGCTCTGGGAAATAAATGAAGGAAGTATGTTCAATAGTATAAAAGATCCCCTCACTAAATTTGCCTTGACTACAACCCTTCAAAACAAAATCAGGATCTGAAGAAATATTAAAATAAGACCTGAAGAAGAGCTCTGTGTAGCTTGAAAGCTTGTCTCTCTCATCAACAGAAGTTGGTCCAATAAAAGATATTACCACACCTACCTTGTCTCGCTAATAAAATCAGGAGGCTGTTAGCTCAAGTTTCTTAAATATATCCAGTGCTGTATTACCACCTGTGGAGAAAGGCAGTCCTTGAGTTAACTAGGACCAAATACATTTAAGGCTTTAGGGCTTAAAACTAACACCTTATATTCCATCCGGAAACATATCAGAAGCCAGCTTAGATCACAGAGCAGAAGTGTAATGTGCTCTGTATGACAAACACTACTCAACGAGAGGGCTGCCAGAGCTGCACGAGTTGAAGTTTCTGAATGCTGTCATGATGAAGCCCCATGAAGAGTACTCTGCCGTAATCCAATCATGAGTTGACAAAAGCATGGGTCACTGAGGTGAGGTTTGAAAGGTTGTAAATGGTAAGTGCTTTTAGACACTCCTGCCAGACATCTAGAAACAGATGATTAGTGAATCTGTATAACACAAGGTGGGCATACTCCCCCAGCTGAGGGAGCAACTATCAACTCTTGCTACTTCTTCCAGTTTATTCCTCCAACCTACCAGCATTATCTTGACCTTGTCTGGATTACATTGCAAACCCTGATTCTGGCAAGACACTGGGTAAAGCAATCAACCCTCTCCTCGGGAAAAGAATAGATCTACTCAGCAATGACTCAATTTTTCATTACCAGGGCTAGATTTACATATTGGGTGCTCCTAGGCACTGCTAAGGGGCAGTTTCATTGCAGTGTAGACTTCTAGGTGTGGACTGGGGCCAGAGCTCTGGGACCCTCCCACCCCGCAGGGTCCTAGAGCCCAGGCTCCAGCCTGAGCCCACAAGTCTACACAGCAATGAAACAGCCCAATAGTCCGAGCCCTGTGAGCCTGAGTCAACTGGCATGGGCCAGCCATGGGGTTTTCTTTGCTGTGTAGATATACCCCATGAGGGCAGATTCCTGTGCCTGCCTGGAGCTTCACTGACTTAAGTGAAGTTTCATGTGGGCTCAAGGATCTACCCACTGGAACCTAGGTGTAGAATGGTGACAATGCCTAAAAGAGCACTATAGGTCAGCAATTAGTTTCCTTAACGAATGGTTCATTTTGTTGTTAAAACTTTTTAATATATACCTATACATCAACATTTGTAATTATTTGTATAACTATTAATTATTCTTGTGGGGATATATGATATATACCGTTAACTTTGTCTAATACTGTGCTATTCAGATTTAATCCTGGGAATCATTCTCTATTATGAACAGTTTTCTTGTAGTAATTTACTAAGCATTTTTTTAAATGTTTATATATAGATATAATATAAGGGTTATATAGCCACTGTAAAGTAGATTTTGGTGCTATTGTGTGACTGCCTGCTGAACTAGCCAAACTGAATTTATAGCCTTATCCTGAAAACCCTTAATTCACACAAGTAGTTTGAATAAGGTAAATGGGAGTTGTGCATACTCAGCACCTCTCAGGATTAGACTCTTCTGATGTAATGTAATACATGGACCAGTCCTGCATTCCTGTATGCCCAAAACTCCCATTGGTGCTAATGGAAGTTTAGAGTGAACCAAGACTACAGGAGCAGGCACATGATATTTTGTTCTTGCTCTCAAGTGCTCTTTATGACTAGGTCATTTTTTTTTGTATAAAGAGGTTTCCCCCTCTCCCTCAGTTGGTTTATTTTTCCTGGTTCAATTAGGTAGTGCATTAAAGTGAACCAAACAGTTATTACTGCAAGTGCCACAATTCAGAAGTGGTTTCTTGAATAATTATTTACTGTTTTGTTTTTGTTTGGTCTGCTGGGTCTGTACAGTCTGTTCTGTCAGTGCACAGAATTTAAAGAATAATTCTCAGTGGATGTTATTAAACCAATGCCATCTAAGTGCTTCAGTTTTCTTATTTATATACACAAAATAAAAATACTGCACCTTTTTGTTGTTGCTAAAATGGAAAGGATCTTGGTAACAATTGCTCTTTAATTTACTAGCACTGATAAACCAGACTTATTTTGATGGAGCCTTTGTCTAGTAACTGTTTGTTCTGTAGATTATATCGAAAAAATGTTTCCATTCAGAATCTGGAAATTCATTCATTTTACCATTCATAAAAAAAATTAATTCGTATGTAAATATAAGCTGGTGGACTGTGCTACCTTTGTTTCCTTCATTTATTTTAATCTCATTTGGAAGGTTTTTCTTTTTTTAACTGTTTGATTTTGTACAAAAAGTGATATGTCTGTGTTAGATGTGGCTTTGGAATTCTCTTTAACATTATAGCACTTGTTTTGGACCAGGTGTTGACCGGTCAAATTACAGGAACATGAAGTATAATTTGTACTTGTCACACAGGCAGCCCTCGTTTAAAGATGTTAAGTACTATCTTTTTCACCTGATTCAGTGAAAGGCGATCTAAATTTGTAGTGGGCAGTTATACCCTCTCAATGTGCCTCTGCCCTCAGCACTCCCTCACCCTGTGGATAGTGCTTTGTTATTTGAGCACTGGAATTATGCAGGACACAGCTGGTGAAGCAAGCTAGAGAGGGGTGGATGTGGGAGGGATGGAGCTTAGAAACCATGCCTGAGTTTGTTAATAGGGAAAAGCTATTTCAAATTGAGAGGATGCCATTTCCAAGTGATTAAGCCAGAGAGAAACGTGATTTATTATTCTTCCATGGGAACTGTAGGAGATATGCAGTTATACCCTAATGCACACAATAGTCCAGATTGTCAAATGTAGGTGCCAAAAATTAGGTTCCTAAAAATTTAGGCACCTTAAATAAAAGAGGCTTGTTTTTCAAAGGACTTGGGCACCCACAGCTCCCATTGACTCTCGCTTAATATTGACTGATTATATTTGGACTCATTAGAATAATATTAACATACATAATAATGACCAATTAATTGAAAGGTATAAGAAATATTAAAGTTGCATCCCACTCTTTTTAATGCATCACATAGCACAGTGTGGGCTATAGTCTGAGTGGTGGTTGGAGCAGGGGACTGGCAGTCAAAACTCCTAGTTCTTGTCCCAGTTATGCCACTAGTTTGCTGTGTATACTTGGGGCAAATCACTTAACAGAGGCACAGAGAGGTTACCCGTTTTACAAATGGGTATACTAATACTTACTTACCTCATAGGGGAATCATAGAGTGAAAGTCACAAAAATACTTAGGCCTCTTAGTCTGGGGTTTAGGTACCTAAATCCCAGTTTTTAGGCTCCTTGAGATCCACAAAACTCTCCCCAAAGCCTGTAGGTGCCCAAATTCACTCAGCGCCTAAGTTTTCAGGTTAAAAGTTCCCTAGGTGCCTAAGTTTCTGCCTCTGAACATGTGCACCGCTGCCCCATGCTAGGCAGCCAGATGCCTATCTTCCACCTAAGCCCTAGATTGATCCATGAACTGGGGGAAGATAGGCCTTGCCTGCCTAGCTCACATGAGGAGCCCAGTTTGACAAGCATGTACAGAAGCCACCTACCAGAGTAGGTCCCATTCAAAAGCTGCTGGTGGTAGTCTAATGGTTACAGCACTGATGTGGAATACTTGGGTTCAATTCCCCACTCTACCTGATGGGGAGAAAAGATTTGAACACATGTCTCAGCAGAGTCCACTGAGTTATGATGGGGGGTGGCAGGCTCTCAGGCTTTCCTGTTGAAGATTTTTCCAGTTTGTATAAATAATTGGAGTCACTGGGCTAGAGAGAGAGTGTGTGTGAGAATGACTTCGTACCCTGGCATCAAGGTAGGAGACACAATCCAGTCCCTCTGCGCCGATGATGACTGTTTATTTAGCTACAGTGGAACAGCTTTGACAGGCGAGATTGAGAAAGCCCCATATCAGACTATCCCATAGCTCTGCAGTTCAAGCATTTACCTGAGGTGTGTGAAAGATCCCATTAAAATCCTTTCTCCCCCTCAGGTGAGTTCTCTAACCACTGCACTAAAGAGTATAAGGTGGGCACCACTTCCTCTTCCAGATGTTTTGTGTGGAGTGAGGCAGGCACCTAACTCATTCTCACAAAACCTGACTTAGGTGCCTAAGCCACCTGACTGCAGGAGAGGGGTTCCCAGTTGTGGATTGCAAGCAGAGACAGCAATCCTTGCAGCCTGGACTTAAGACACCTATTTCTTTGGGAAGGGCAGGGCTTAGGACGCACATCTGTCCTTAGTATCTCTTGTTGGCTAGTTTGATATCTCCCTGCCTAGCACGCTGGCTTTTGTGGATTCCATTCTTAGGCACCTATCTCTTCCTGTGCATTGTATAGGGAGCCTATGAGCATAATTCAGGCTTTGTGGATGACAGTGTTATTCCTGTGATTTTCTAGATTCCTAAAAATTAGACATTACAACATTCAGCATCACAGCACCCAAGTGGATCCAGGTCATAATGCTTAGTTAGTTCAAATTTGTAAAGCACAAGACTTTCATATACAAGGTACTATACAAGTCCAGTCAGGAGTGCTGAAAGCTCCCTAGAAGTGGGGGGGGGGCCACCAACACCCAAACCATGGTTTTCCCCCTTCCCCCATGGCCCCACCCCTTCCCCATGGCCACGCTCTTGCCCTGCCTCTTCCCCGAGGCTCTGCCCCCACTCACTCCTCTCCACCCCCTTTGTCCCCATCACCCACCCTTAAGGCATGTAAAAAGTGATGGGGCCATGTCCCCCTGTTCCAGCACCCCTGAATTCAGCATCTTTTTATTTTATATGTTGTTCTTACTGGGACTGATTCTGCAGTTAGTCCACTTGCAAAGCTCCCAATTAGGTCAACTGGAGTTTCAGCGGAAACTGTAGAAGGAGGCCTGCTATAATACCCATTGACAAGATTCATTATCAAGGCTCCTTCTGAGTCATTATGAGCTACAGCAGTACTCTAAAATATTTTGCTGATGAGTGGATTATTTAAATTTCTCAATGCACCATTAGCAAGACGATTTTAAAAATTAAATAGCAAAAGGATGATTTTCCTTTCCTATCTTGCTCTCTAGCCCTCAAGGCTGTGAAGGAAAGTTTGAAAATGTGTCATGAGTCCACCCTAATGGCAAACAGAAAGAATAACCAAATGTATTGTTTTTAAAATCTCATCCTTTTTAAGCCAATCTCATGATTTTGGTGGGTCTAACTCATTATTTTTGAACACGAGGGGTTGGCAATACTAGGTGAGGGGGAACTGGCCTTAATCTGTCTCTTTCCCTTCAATTCTGCAACTGGAGGGAGACTGGATTAAGTTACGCGATGCAAAACTTGGGTGGGATGTGGGATCCCCCAAGAAGTAGAGCGCCTCTGAAGAGCAGGAGTCCAAACAGATTCTGTCTTTGTGCCTGAGGCCAGCCCTCAAAACAGAGGGTCGAATTCTCTGGTGCTCTAAGTGCAGTATCACAATTTTATTGCAAGTCTCGCAATATTTGGTGGTTTTTCTAATGCCCAGCAGCTGGAATCAAGAGATTGCATGAAAGCCTCCGTTTTCAATGAAAAATAAAAAATGGTAGCCCCCACACAGCGGTGCAGAACTGCTGGTAAATGTGAACCAAGCACACCCTGAGGAGTTGGAAACTAGAGGGCAAATATGAACACTCTGAAAAACGATATTTTAAATATCTCGTGATTTTTGAGCCAATCTCACGATTTCTGAATGCTTGGGGCTCGCAAGGCTCTAAGTGGGTGCCACCCAGTAAAAGGCCATGCAGTCGCAGGTGGTTCTGCTGCTCCCTTCACGCCACACCTGCTTGCCCTTGCGTTTGTCTTCTTAGCTGGCTGCAAGCAGTCGCCAGCTCCATTGCACGCTGAGAAGGGAACAACAAACAGCCTTGCACAGAGCGGATCCGGTTTACACCCCCCTCGTCATCCCACCCCTGCAGCTGCCCGCAGAGCTGGACGCGTCCTCAGCGCAGCCCTGCTGCCTCTCGCTAACACAATGACGCTGCTGCTTTCTTACCACAGCGGGAGCGCGTGGCAGCAGCCCCTCCCTCGCAGCTCGTCTCGTTCGGCCAAGGGTGGGGAGAAGGAGGAGGAGGGAGGGAGGGAAATGGGAGCGCGCAACATAGGCGCAGGGCTGATCGAACGCGCCCCGCCGCGCGGGCGCAGCAGGGGCAGGCTAACTAGGGTGCGGCGCCGCCGCTGCTACTGCGGGGTGGGGGAAGTGCCCAGTGCCAGCAGTGGCGGGGAGGGGAAGAATGGCTGTTGGCTGAGGAGAGGGGGGCTGGCGTTGTGTTGGGGGCGTCCAGATGATTAGTTTGAGGGAGGAAGGGAAGTGGGGGATGTGGCGAGCCGGGAGAGCGCTTAGCTGGGGGGAGGGAGAAGGTGGACATGTGGCTGGAAGGAGGGATGCGGGAATGGGGCGATAGGGGAGGGGGAGAAGAGGGAAAGGTGCTGAAGAAGGGTTTGGGGCGTTTGACTGAAAGAGAACAGGGGGGATTTCCCCCAAAATCATCTAGGGCTGTAGGGTCAGTTAGCATGCAGAGAGTCTGTCCCTGAAACAAACATAGCTAACCAACCCTCTGTCTCCCCCACGCCAGGCATACACTCACACCCTGGAGAGGACGTGATTAAAATATGGCTTCACCTTTGCAATCTTTGCTGTCATGCATGTGCAAAAACGAGCTGCCTGAGTGGCTCTTAGGGTGAAAATAAGCCCTTCACTGGAGTGAGACCTGTCAAATATTAGTCCTAGAACAGGTCTGTGGTGCTTTCTCATTGGGAAAACTTGATTTTCCTGATTTTTTTTTAAACAAGCCTGCAAGTGGTTGAAAGACTTGCCCCTGGAGGGTTTCTAATCGGGCAAAATGGATCAGCCTCTTGAATGTATTTACCTTGCAAAATAGTTCCTCTCTGCTGTGGCATTTGATTAAAATAGGACTAAGAATGACTCCTGCATTTTTGGAACATGTTGGGATGACATAAGATTTTTTAAAAATGCTGCTAAATAATAATATTACATTGAAAACGGCTGGATCAAAACATGTTTTTAAAGGACTCTGAAGTTATGTTTACAGGCTCTTATTTTTAAATAGAATTTTATAATGGTAACAAAATAATGGATAATAGGGAACCAGTGGATGTAATTTATTTAAACATTCAAGAGGCTATTAGGGAAAGTTGCTAACCACAGAGGGAGAGGTAAATCCTGTCAATCATGGATTAAAGTCTAGTTATGAGATGGGCGGGGGGAAGAATAAGAATAAATGGCAAATTCTCATTGTGAAGAAAGTTAATAGTGGGGTGCCCCAGGGATCAATACTAGGCCCAGTGTTGTTTAATATATTTATTAAGGGCCTGCTGGAGATGCTGACTAATGAGGCACTGAAATCTGCTCTCTTTGCAAATGATATAGGTTAGACAAGATTGGGAAAGATTGTGAGGCACAACAGAACGACTTGACAAAACTAAATAATTGGGCAATGCAATGGCAGATGGAATTCAGTGTAGGTGAGCTCAAGGTAATGCACCTTGGAAGGAATGATTTAAACTATTTGTACACACAGATGGGTTCTGAATTAATTGTAACCTTTCAACAACAGAATGTAAGCATCCGTGTGGACAGCTTAATGAAGATGTCTGCTCAATATGCTATGGTGGTCAGAAACAGCAAATAAGATGTTAGGCTGTAATAAAAAAGGAACAGAGAAAAATACAGAAAATATTGTAATACCATTATATAAAACATTGCTAAGTAGGTTCTTCCTTTGATTATTCTGTTTTGGTCACCTTTATCTTAAAAGGTATTTTGGGATAACTCTGTATGAGGAAAAAATTGAATGACTATTTAGGGCTCAATCTTACAAAGTTCTGAGTGACCTAAACTAGTATTGACTACATTAGTAGCTCAGTAGTTCAGCACCTTACAGGAAAAGGGCCTACGTTTTTGTTTTTTGTGCAAAAAGTACAATTATATATATACACACACAACGAAGGATGGAAGAGAGAAGGCCATGTGACATCCTTATTTTATCTTGTCCCTCAATAGTAAGGGGATATTCAAAAGTATATCGTTTATCTCTGCAATGTATAATTAATCTGTGAAACTCACTGTCAGAATGTTATTGATGAAAATAGCTTAGTTTAATTCACAAATGGATTAGCCACATGCAAAAAAGAGCAGGCCAAATCTGTAGCTGGTGTAGAGTGGTGTAGGTCCTTCAAAGTCCATGGAGCTATGCTGATTTGAGCATCAGCCGGGGATCTGGCCCAGCATCTGCAGTTATACAAAGATAAAATTGACAACAGCTATCCATCTTCCTGTTTTGAAGCCAAAACTGAATGCCAGCTGGATTAAGATAGAAACCCCCCAAACATATATCTCCACCACTGTATACATAACTGTTTGGCTGCTTTATCTTGGGCAGTTTGTCTTCTGAACTATGGGGCCAGGAAAAAATTCTTCCCATTCATCCATGGTATAATATTGTTCAATTGCAGGTGCATTATAAGTCTTCATTAGAAGTAGTTAATGTAGACACTACCGGAGGACAGATCCACTGGACTAAGTGGGTCACTAGCCTGTTTTGTCACAGCAGTTCCTATGTTTAGGCAAAAGATGTGTGACTGAACTTCAGATGTCCTTTTAGCTGTTTGTTTTCCTTCCTGAAATCAAATCCCTGAGCACTGTGCAAAACAAAAATAAACCAAGGCTAACTAGCAATAATGCATGAGCAAGAACAAACCTAGTATTAGGGTAAAAATAGATAAATTCAATTTAAGGCTGCTACAGTCACAGAGCTGTTTGTTTGTTTGTTTTTATTCTGCAAGCATCATAAGTATTCTGTGAGGAATCAACTGCCCTTGACAAGTTATACATTAAAGATAATGATTGAAGTGTTAATAAAACATTATAAACTGACAGAAGTTTTCTTCTCAAATATGAAGACCTTTAGAAAATCTGTAAATGAAATTATTGAGCAATTAATGTTTGTAAAGCCTGTGGAAGATTAAAAGCTTTACATAAATGGTTATTACTGTATTAATAACAAGCCTTACCCTATCAGATTTACTACCATTATCATCTAGGGTGGGTTGGGCAGTACTCCATGGCAGATAGAGGAGTGAGTCAGTGCCAGAACATCTTTGAGAACATCTTTCACTAAAATTCCTGGAGACTATCCCCAAGAAAACTTCAGATGGATGTGAGGGCTCTCACACAAGGCTTCCATCCCCTCCACCAACACACATTCACATCCTGGAGCAAGCTATGAATGGGTTATTGGGTCGTGGGGGGCAAGATAATTTTGAGGGGACTATTTGCTGGGTGAGTGGACAAACTGGTTGATGAGGGTGTCCTGGGATTAATTTTGTGAGAGTTTGTTTGGAGGGAAGCAGAAGGTTGGGGACAGTGTTGTGGGCAGGGAGAGCTGATGTTGAAGAACATGGATAATTTGTTGGGCTGCTACTGTTTGCTGTATCAAGGATATTTTTCTAATGGGGAGTTGCAGGTAAACTGCAGGAAATGGGTAATTTGGAAAGAAAATTGCAGTGTTCTTACTGAGCATAGACAGTGAAGATTGAGAGTTTGCAGGGATACTTTATCCTGGAGCTGAGAGGAAGCAGGGGTTCCCAAAAGGTCATTGTTACAGGGGTAATTTGTAAGGGCCTTGGAGGTGGGATATTTGGAACATATAGAAGGGTAAGGGGAGAAATCAGTGTTTAATTCTGCTGTTTGGGTGGGAGTGTGGAAAGGAACAGCTGCCAAGGGGTTGGCAGCTAGAAATGTATTGTAGTATAGGTTTAAATATATATATATAGGACAACATCATAGCTCCATTGTAGTCAATAACAAAACTCCCATTATCTTCAACTGGGCCAGGATTTCATTCATGATCTTAAATAAAAACAAGGAACCAGCATAGTCTTAATAATTGTATGACAACAACTACATATAATAATAATACTCAAACTAATGTAGTGTCTTTCATCTAAGAATCTCCAGGCACTTTACAGAAGTGAGTACATGTTATTATTCCATTTTAAAGACAGAGAAGATGACGTGCATTTAGGATTGAGGGGATGGAGTTTTCAAAAGTGCATAAGGAAATCAGATGTCCAACTCCTGTTGACTTACATGTCACTGGCAGAGTTGGGAAAAAAACCCATCTGACTCCCAGTCCCTTGCTATAACCAGTGGCATAAGTCATTATATAAGTAATTTACCTTTCTGATTACACAATAGCTATTTAAATATATCAAATGCTTCTCCTTTAGAAAGTAAGTAGAAAAGAATGTATGCTACCTTCTAGAGTAATTAGTTAATGTTGGTATTGTGCTTTGAAGCCATAAGGTGCTACTTTATGTAAATATTAAGTAGTAATATTATTATTTACTATTACTAGTGCATGAGTATGATATCATCAAGCTGACTCATGTGGACAGTAGTGTGAAAAATCACATACAACCTGCTCAGTTCGCCTAAAAGTTAAAGTAAAAAATTGCACAATTGCCTAACATATATTTGATTAGAAAACAGGTTTTAATTTTAGGTTTCTAAGCTATTGTTATTAACAAAATTTAAGTTTAAAAATAATTTTTGAAAGTATGAGTAATTTTATATTTTAGACATTTCTTTTTAAAATGTATTTGCTTAGTTGTTTCCCAGAGGGCTCATCTATGTTACTGTACTTATTCCAACAGTTAGACAACAATTAAAATCTATCTGGACCTATTGTACTGCTTCTAGACAGGGGCGGCTCTATGTATTTTGCCGCCCCAAGCACAGTAGTGAGGCAGCCTTCGGCGGCATGCCTGCAGGAGGTCCGCTGGTAACGCAGATTCAGCAACATGCCTGCGGGAGGTCCGCCGGTCCCGCGCCTTCAGCGTACCCACCGCTGAATTGCCGCTGAAGCCGCAGGACCAGCAGACTTCCCGAAGGCATGCCGCCAAAGGCAGCCTGACTGCTGCCCTCACGGCGACCGGCAGGCTGCCCTCCGCGGCTTGCCGCCCTAGGCATGCGCTTGCTGTGCTGGTGCCTGGAGCCACCCCTGCTTCTAGACCCAATGGCCCAAGAACCAGCCACTGACAAAAATGAAAATAGGCACACACAAAAGTTATCCAAAAGGAAAAGAAGGTAAAAAAGAGAGGCTTCCCAAAGGACACAATTCTAATGGAAAGGTCTTAGAACAGGGGTAGGCAAACTATGGCCCGCGGGACATGTCTGATCCATCAGACATTTTAATCTGGCCCCGGAGCTCCCGCTGGGGAGCAGGGTCTGGTGCTTGCCCCACTCCGGCGCTCCAGCCGGGGAGCGGGTTTGGGGGCTTGCCCCGCTCCGTGCATGCCGTGGCTCCGCATGGCTCCCTGAAGCAACAGCATTTCCCCTCTCCCGCTCCTATGCGTAGGGGCAGCCAGGGGTCTCTGCACATTGCCCCAAGCACTGCCCATGCAGCTCCCATTGGCTGGGAACTGCAGCCAATGGGAGCTACAGGGGTGGTGCCTGCGGATGGGGTAGCACGCAGAGCCGCCTGGCTGCGCCTCCGCATAGTAGCCAGTGGGGGGACATGCCGCTGCTTCTGAGAGCTGCTTGAGGTAAGCACCACCCAGAGTCTGCACCCCTGACCTCCTCCCGTGCCCCAACCCTCTGCCCCAGCCCTGATCCCCCTCCTATCCTTCAAACCCCTCAGTCCCAGCCCGGAGCACTCTCCTGCACCCCAAAACCCTCATCGCCAGCCCCACCACAGAGCCTGCACCCCCCGCCGGAGCCCTCACACACCCCCACACCCTAACCCTCTGCCCCAGCCCGGAGCCTCCTCCCACACCCTGAACTCCTCATTTCTGGCCCCATCCTAGAGCCCACACCCCCAGCTACAGCCCTCACCCCCTCTTGCACCCCAATCCCAATTTTGTGAGCATTCATAGCCCGCCATACAATTTCCATGCCTAGATGTGGCCCTCGGGCCAAAAAGTTTGCCCACCCCTGTCTTAGAGCAAGCCTTGATGGCTGTAACAGCAAGTCTCCTCTGGA